TGTGTGTGTGTGTGTGTGTGTGTGTGTGTGTGTGTGTGTGTTTATTATTAGTATCTGCCTAGTGCCGATTTTAATTGTACTATTTAAATTCAAATAATATTAATCTAATGTACTTTAGGGTTTTCGCTATCCCGTATATATTATTATTTTCTGAAGACGTTTTCAAAATACTGTTTTTAGGCTATATATGACTTATGAGTTTATAACAACAGTAATAATTTAATATAATATAATACAGTACAATATGGAATAATATTATAATATAATTATAAACGGCATGTTTTTGGAAAAAAATTGTTTAACCAACCTTGTTACTAAAATAGTAATATATAAATAAATTATAAAATCTCTTTGGAAATAGATGCTGACAAGCTTCTCCACTCAGTACAGTTATTCGTATGCAATGAATTATGAATATTTTCGAATTCAAATTAAATACACCCCTTTGCAGGGTCGTACTCAATGAGGAGGTACACTCGAAAACAGCAATACAACAAAGCTACTTCATCGGTTTATTTTTGGGTTTTTTGAACATTCCTTAGTGGTTTATTATAATAATATATATGTGTATTACCTCAAACTCGAAAAATCTCATTAAAATATAAAAAATGCTCTAAATGTAAGAAAAGCAGCGCACTGACGGATTCAAGATAAAAGATACGGACTAAAGCTGATTATGATGCCGAAGGGCGTTATTTGCTCAAAGCCTTAAGACCTTAAAGCCTCACGTCACGTTTGTATTTTTCTTATAACCACTTTGATCAATCTTTTTGTCATACGTTAAATCACAACCACCTTTTCTGCAGTGCAGTCGGCATGTATAGGTGAGAAGGGTACAACGAAAATGCGATTCGCTATCGTGTCTCGATAGTATTATCAAACAGCGAACGTTACAGATTTGAATCATTATTTGCAACGATTATGAGTGCACCATTATGTGTCACCACTGCACAGTGTACACTATACGTAGGTACTCAAATTTACCACTGAGGTAAACAGTGAAACAAAAAAATGGTATTCGTATGTTCTGAGTCTCCAAAATTCAAAAAATTTCCAAAATAGGCCTTACCCAGACAAATTTCGATCCTGGAAAAAAAATCTCCGAAAGTAGTTATNTTTTTTTTTTTTTTTTTTGTTCGGTTCGAAAGAAAACTATTTTCTTCGTTGTAGTACTGTGTCGATCGTATTTTGGACGGCACACGACGGAAGTGTTTGTGTTTTTCGAACGAATCTACGAATGGCGCGGTCGTGTGCGTGTGTAGAATTTATGTCGTTTGCAAACAGAGTTGTTATTATTATTATTCAACGGAATAATAATAATATGACGAGGCAATTTCCGTCGAAGTTTTGCTCTTCGTCTACCGAAGACCGGGATGCCGACGTCCCGAACGATTCATGTTGCAGAAAATGTGCTGAAAAAGAATGCTCTCGTGACTCGAAGATGTAGGAAAATAGAAATAAAGAAACTTAAAATTGGAAGAAAAAAAGTGATCTTCGTGGTTGTATTACGGATATATAAGACGTCATCGAAAAACTTTTTATCGCAGAAAAAATAGACATAAAAACCTAAACGAAATCAGTTAATGAAAATCGAGAAAACATTTGAATATTATTGCAACGCACTATTTGAGATTAAAGAAAAACAATTAACTTACAACCATTTAATAATAATTATTGATACAAAC